CATCCAGCGGAATCTGTGTAAGCCTTTGGAAATGTGTTTGTTAATATCATCCATTATATGTGGGGTTTGTTTGGTTTTTTTTTTTGATTGTTTGTTTTGGAGGGCCTAGGGAGGGAAAAGTTGAGGGCCCTAGGGCTTGCCAAACTCTCCTGTGATTTCTCAACCCTTCCCCCAGTTAGTATCTCTGCTTTTGTTCATGTGGTTCCTTCTACTCAGAATGCTTGCCCTGCCTTCTTGGTCTCTAAATCATATCTTAGTATCAAACTACCTTTTAATAGTAGCTTTTTAAAAGTCTTTTCTATTTTCCCTGCCTCCCAAGTGGATGTGATTTGTGCCTCATTTAAAAAACCCTGGTATTGCATTATCTTTCTAGCAGGCATTTGCCCTTCTGGTTATTTGCATATCAGGTCCCCAGGGCAGGAATAGTGGTCACTTTGCACTTGCTGTATACTTGAACTTTTGAACTGCCCACGCTCACAAAGCTAGTTAGACGCTGCTGCCAGACACTGTACAGGAATTCAAAGAATCCTGTGACATTTTCCTTCACTGGAGTTTTTTGTGCCCTGGAAAAATCACACATCTGACACATCATAGACCTTCTCTGCTCAAACCAAAGTAGGTTAAAACAGATTATGTGAATTAGAACACAGCGTTATGTACATCGGGGTTTTTGTGGGGTTTTTTACGTATAACGTACACCTATTAGCAAAATGTAGATGACCTTAAGTTCTAGCTAACGAAGTGGATAACATTTTTTTTTTTTTTTTTTGCGGTACGCGGGCCTCTCACTGTTGTGGCCTCTCCCATTGCAGAGCACAGGCTCCAGACGCGCAGGCTCAGCGGCCATGGCTCACTGAGCCCAGCCACTCCGCGGCACGTGGGATCTTCCCGGACCGGGGCACGAACCCGTGTCCCCTTTATTGGCAGGCGGACTCTCAACCACTGCGCCACCAGGGAAGCCCAAATTAAATTTTACTTTTAAATCTCGACGTAGCATGGGGTTGGCTTAGGAAAGCTGTGTCACAGTGGTGTTGGAGACAAGCATGCAGCCGGGCGTGGAAAGCTGTCTGGTCTCTGAAGAGCTGTGCTGGTGACCAGCCCCACACTGCACTATTTAGCTTCTGTTTCTGAAATGGTGCTAAGAATAATGTTCTTTTTCTGTTTCAGTAATACTTTTTTTTTTTTTTTTTTTTGCGGTACGCGGGCCTCTCACTGCTGTGGCCTCTCCCGTTGCGGAGCACAGGCTCCAGACGTGCAGGCTCAGCAGCCATGGCTCACGGGCCTAGCCGCTCCGTGGTATGTGGGATCCTCCCAGACCGGGGCACGAACCCGTGTCCCCTGCATCGGCAGGCGGACTCTCAACCACTGCGCCACCAGGGAAGCCCTCAGTAATACTTTTGACGTGCTTGCACAATCCTGAACATTTTGGGAATCGCGTGGTAAAGAATAGACTTCTGAAATCACTCTTTAATCCCATTTTTGTTTTTAACACAGTTCATAGATTGCCAGAGAATACTGTTCCCCCTTGGGGCTGATTGCATTCTAAGTAATTACCCTCGAGAGGCCCAGCCCTGTTAGCCACTTTTTTCTTTCTTTTTTTGTAATTTATGTCTGGAGCTTGTTTTTTGTTTTTCTAGACCTCTAACATTTTAGCTTAAACATTTTAAAATACAGTCTGTTTGAAACAACTGCTCATAAATAGTTTAGCATTTGCCAACTGAGGGTCGATTTTTGATTACTGGGACTGTTTTGTACTTGAGTTTAGCTAATTTAGATGAAGAGGGGTGGATGGGGAACCATCCTTCAGAATAGGGCTTTTTCACCTTTTTAGCCCAGGAACAATCCCTTTGAAAATCTGAGGGCAGCTGTAAAGAGAAACATTAGGGGACCCAGCAGATAACATAAATGCCTTAAAGTGTCATGTAAATCTGAAGGAACTAGATGCCCCTTTGCCCCTAAAGATACTCACATGGGGGTCGTAGGAGGACCTCTTGTTCTAAATTAGGTGTTACTGACATTTTGTCTCCTGGGAATCCAGATTATGAATCTTTTCATAGAGGAAAGTAGAGGTTATCTTGCTCTGCCTATCTGCTCTTCTGGTGGCACGTGTACCTTTAAGGACTGCAGTTCTCTGCTTTTAAGAAGTTTGTGTCAGACAGGGAGATGAGCTTGGTGCTTTGTGTCTACCTAGAGGGGTGGGATAGGGAGAATGGGAGGGAGACGCAAGAGGGAGAAGATATGGGGATATATGTATGTGTATGGCTGATTCACTTCGTTGTAGAGCAGAGGCTAACACACAATTGTAGAGCAATTATACTCCAATAAAGATGTTTAAAAAAAAAAAAGAAGTTTGAGTCGGAACGTCATTTTAAAGGAGGTAGAAATTTTGACTTAATCCGAGTGTCTTGTACCGTTCTAGACAGATTCTATATTGTGCACTAAATGGGGTTGCTTGGTTGCCTGAGAGTTACTTTCTCTTAAATGTCAGAACTAGAAGTGGAGGAAACTTTCCTTCTCTGATGTATATGTTGTTAATAGAAGGGAATGGAAATCTAGAAGATAAAAATCTGGGTGGATAAAGTTCTTTTCTCTGGATGTAGAACACTCAGGTGGAGACGGGTAGCCAGCCGTTTATGTAACTAACCTATGGTTCGTTTTCATCTGGGGCAGCACTCTACTGTGATTGCCTGTAATAATGTAAACTGTTTGTCTGATGTAAACCAATGCCAGTTAAAAGTTTACCTAATAAATTACCGTCTGGGGTACTTTCAAAGGAATAGCTGCCTGTTTTCTTATGCTGTATGCGTATAATTCATATGCTGTCTCTAAGTATGTAAACGTACGTGTAGCTTACTACTTTATTACTTTCATGCCTCTGTTCAACTGTCACCGAATTAAAGAGGCCTTTCCTGATCACTCTGTATAGATTAGCACCCTTCTCCCCCCTTCACTCTGCTTCAGTGAGTGTGAAGATGTACAGGCATTTCTTTCTCTCATCCTCATTAAGTGGGTATTTTTATTTCTTTAGCATATAGTCATCTTTCCTCACCTCAGGCCTCAAATTTCGCTTCTTTGCCAGAGTAATTCCTGAGTTGGCCCACAAAATAATGTGCAAGCAACAACGTTCATAATGTTTTAATAATATAGCATAAATACGTACTGAGCATCAGACAAAATGCGCACCGAGCGGACAGTAAAATGGTTGCGTGGTTTAGCAACGCAGTGTTGTTGAGTCCAGAGCAGAACTCTGCAAACTGGTCTTCCGGGCTTTGTCAGCCTTTGGACCCAGGGTGACAGTCAATAACCCAACTATCCTACACACTTAGCTGTTGGGAATTTTAAGACTGCAATGGTGGTGGTTGTTAATTGAGATGTAATTCACAGACCATAAAGTTCACCTTCATGATTATAAAATTCAGAAGGTTTTGTGTATTCACAAGATGTGCCACCGTCATCCCTATTTAGTTCCAGAACATTTTCATCCAAAGGAATGCCATACCCTAGTCCCTCCTTCCCCCAGTCACCTGGTAACCACAAATCTGCTTGCTGTGTTATGGATGTGTCTCTTCTGGGTATTTCATATAAATGGAATCATACAATATTTGGCCTTTTGTGGCTGGCTTCTTTCATTTAGCGTGTTTCCAAGGTTCATCCATGTTGTAGCATGTATCAGTACTTCATTCCTTTTTATGGCTGAATAATGGTCTGTTGTATGGAATCACTACATTTTATTTATTCATCAATTGATAGATATTTAGGTTGTTTCCACTCTGGAGCTATTATGAATAATACTGCTGTGAACATTTGTGTACAAGTTTTCGTGTGAGCCTATGTGTCATTTCTCTTGGTTATACACCTACGAGTGAAATTATTGGGTCATATGGGAACTCTGTGGTTAACCTTCTAAGGAACTGTTTTCCAAAGCAGCTACACTGTTTTACATTCCTACCAGCAATATATTAGGGTCCTAGTTTCTTCACATCCTCACCAACACTTGTTATTATCCCTTTTATTATAATCATCATAGCGGGAGTGAAGTGGTATCTCATTGTGGTGCTGATTTACATTTCCCTGATGGCTAATGACGTTGAGCATATTTTCATGTGCTTATTGGCCATTTGTATATACTTCTTTGGAGAAATGTCTGTTCAGATCCTTTGCCTATTTTAAATTAGGCTATTTGTCTTTTAATTATTGTGTTGTAAGAGTTTTTTACATATTTCACATACAAGTCTTCTATCAGATTTGCAAACTTTTTTCCCATTCTGTGGGTTATCTTTCTACTATCTTGATGGTATCCTTTGAAGCACAAAAGTTTTACACTTTGATGAAATGCAGTTTATCTGTTTTTTCTTTGGTCACTTGAGCTTTAGGTGTCGTATCTAAGAGACAGTTGACTAACCCAAGATCATGAAGACTTAAAGTTATGTTTTCTTCACAGAGTTTTATAATTTTCGCTCTTACAATGAGGGCTTTGATCCATTTTGAGTTAATTTTTATAGATGGTATTAGGTAAAGGTTCATTTTTATTCTTATCTATGTGTATATCTAGTCCCAGAACAATTTGTTAAAAAGACTGTTCTTTTCCTCCAAAATTCTCTTGGCCCTCTTGTTGAAAAATCAGTTCACTGTACATCTATGGGTTTAATTCTGGACTCTCAATTCTATCCATCTATATGTAGCCTATGCTTGTGCCAGTACCCACACCATCTTGATTACTATGGCTTTTTTTTTTTTTTTTGCGGTACGTGGGCCTCTCCCTGTTGTGGCCTCTCCCGTTGCGGAGCACAGGCTCCGGATGCGCAGGCCCAGCAGCCATGGCTCACGGGCCCAGCCACTCTGCGGCTGTGGGATCTTCCCGGACCAGGGCACGAACCCGCGTCCCCTGCATCGGCAGGCAGATTCTCAACCACTGCGCCACCAGGGAAGCCCTACAGTAAGTTTTGAAATCAGAAAGTGTGAATCTTTTAACTTTGTGCCAAGGTAATTTTGAAATTGAGTTTAACTTAATTAGATAAAGACCAGTAGACGAGGAACTCTTCTTCAGAACAAGCCTAAGCAGGCCCCACACCAACCTGATTCTTAGAAACAGGTTGGCTCTCTAGACTTAGCCAGCCAGTTGCACTCTTTTCCTTCATTCATTTATGCGTCAGTGATTTTAGGGAGTTTTTATAGTAACATAACTGTGAGCAATGTTGAAAGTTGGATAATGTAAACAAAAATCTAGTGTCTGGGAGATAGTTTTGGAAATCATTTCATCCCAAGTGGGAGACATTAAGGTTTTTAACCAGAGCAGGGATAGTAGGGGTAGGACACTTTCAGAAAGTGTTAGAGGTAGAATTTCGAGGACTTGCGATGGATGAGTTATGGTTGGTAAAGGAGTTTAGGGATCAGAGGTACTTGTATTTCCAGCTTGCGGATGACGTGTGGGACTAGATAGTGATGGCCTGAGTAAAGATACACAGTAGTGTCATCTGGTCTTTCAAGAAGTCCTGCAAGGTTGGAGCAGAGAACAGGATTATGAGAAGGTTTATTTAAGTTTTGTTGGTTGTGTTTTAGGGAAACTTGCTGTTTAATTATCACTTTAGGTCCCAGAAGAAACAGAGCAGACACTTTTCCTTCTAAGATGGTTGGTAAGAGAGTTGTTGTTTGATGGTTTCTATTTTCCCTGGAGCTAAAATTTGGAGGTGGGGTAGGTTAGGAACTGTGGAACTTCAGGGTAGTGAAGGGTTGGAATAGCCACTGAGAAATGTAGATAAAATAGCAAGGAAACAGAAAATAGGAATGAAAAAGACAAGACAGAGGACCGATTCGGGAAGTCCAACAGCTAAGTATTATTTCCTGAAAGAGAGTAGAGAGAAAACAGAGGGGAGGAAATTATCAGTGAAATAGTTGAGGAAGCACAGAATGAAGTTTCCAGATTGAAAGGACCCACTTGAATCCCCTAAAACAACACCAACATCACCGTGAAGATGTAAGTAACTGCAGGTTTCCAGAGAAAGAACACCGGTCACTTGGAAAGGATCTAGAATCAGAGTGACTCCAAATTTCTTAGCAGTAGCCAGTTTGCTTTTTTTATATATATGTGTATAAATTTATTTATTTTATTTATTTTTGGCTGCATTGGGTCTTCGTTGCTGCGCGTGGGCTTTCTCTACTTGCGGTGAGCAGGGGCTACTCTTCGCTGTCGTGCGCAGGCCTCTCATTGCGGTGGCTTCTCTTGTTGCGGAGCACGGGCTCCAGGCACGCGGGCTTCAGCAGTTGTGGCTCACGGGCTCTAGAGCGCAGGCTCAGTAGTTGTGGCGCACGGGCTTAGTTGCTCCACGGCATGTGGGATCCTCCTGGACCAGGGCTCAAACCCGTGTCCCATGCACTGGCAGGCGGATTCTTAACCACTGCAGCACCACCAGGGAAGCCCCAGTTTGCTTCTTAGAAGCAAGACCCTGAACAGTGTCTCCAAACTGCTGACAGAAAATGATTTTCAGCTCATAATTGTATATGCAGCCAGATTATCAATCAACTTTGAGGGTAGAAAAAGATGTTCAGACATTCAGGGTACAGAATTGAGGGAATATGCCAGGAGAAAGTAGTAGCCCATGGCACCCGGGATGGGGCCTGCCCTTTCCTAACAGATCTTCCTTCTAGTTAACTCATTATGTGCAGTTGTTACGTTGACACGTTAAAACTTTGAATGGGCCACTGAACTGTTCAGTTTTAAATTATTAGAATAGTATATCCATTTAACACACACACACGCACACACACACACACACACACACACACAAAGACAAAGGGGAGGGAGAAGCAGCCAGCCAACAACTCAAAGTTTCGCTGATAAGGGACAGCAGTTGAGGGGCGGGCATTGGGAATGGTGTACAATCTTTGTACTGTTTCCCCGTGGAAAGCGTTTTAAATGTGGAGTCAGGAGATCTCAGGCTGTGTCTAAGGGCCAGGTCTGTGCATAGCAGGGTGTGGGTCGGTCTCACCAGGACGCTTTCCGTTCTTTCCTGGCTGTTCCCGAGGCCTTGCATTTCCTGTTCCACCTGGGGCAGCTCTCCCCAGTCTTCACGTGAGAAACTCAAGCTTTGATGACACAAGTTTTTCCGCCATTTAAGTACTTTGACCAGTGACCTATGGACAAATGTGTAATTCAGAAAAATTAATGTAGCCTAAACACATCTCATTCTCTTACAGCCTGGGGACTATAAAGTGAAAATGGAGCAACAAGAACCAGCAGATTCTCAAAATACCAAGCAGTCTATTATTTCAGAGGAGGTATACATTGATTTTTACTTCCCTTCTCCTTCGCCATATTAAGCTGAGTTTAAAAGAAATGTATAGACTATTTGCTGTTTCAAATGATTGTTTTTCATTCTTTTTTTTTTTTTTTTTTTTTGCGGTACGGGGGCCTCTCACTGCTGTGGCCTCTCCCGTTGCGGAGCACAGGCTCCGGACGCGCAGGCTCAGCGGCCATGGCTCACGGGCCCAGCCGCTCCGCGGCATGTGGGATCCTCCCAGACCGGGTCACGAACCCGTGTCCCCTGCATCGGCAGGCGGACTCTCAACCACTGCGCTTCCAGGGAAGCCCCTGTTTTTCATTCTTTAAGATAGGTTTTAAACACTGTTCCCGCTCCCTTTTTAGGACTTGGGCATTTTGCTCTTGTGTGGGAGCAGTGGTGTATCATTCTTAATTATATGTATTAGCGAAATTGAGGCTGTTTTTAAAGTGAGTTTTGACTGTTGATTTTTAAAATTCTCAATTTTTATTTTTTTCATTTATTTTTTATTGAAGTAGAGTTGATTTACAGTGTTGTGTTAATTTCTGCTTACAGCAAAGCGACTCAGTAATACACATATATACATTCTCTTTTATGTTCTCTTCCAGTATGGTTTATCCCAGGACACTGAATATAGTTACCTGTGCTATACAGTAGGACCTTATTGTTTCAATTTTTATTAAAAGTTTCTCTGGGTAGAAGAATAAATCATGTGAGTTTTAGGGCTTAGACATTTCATCCCTAGGTATCACATCTTGGTTAGATATTTGTGGTCTCAATATGTGTGTTTAAGAAGAATAAAAACCTAAGTTGTTAGTTGTGGTCTAAATTCCAGAACTAATGTATGTCTTGTGTGTTATCCAGTTTACCTTTTAAAAAGTCTCTTCCTACAGGAACCATTGTAGTGGATAAACTTTAAATCCTTCATCTTTGGAACTCTGAGCTTGACACCTTTCTGGAATTCTTTTTTTTTTTTTTTTTTTATTTATTTATGGCTGTGTTGGGTCTTCGTTTCTGTGTGAGGGCTTTCTCTAGTTGCGGCAAGCGGGGGCCACTCTTCATCGCGGTGCGCAGGCCTCTCACTATCGCGGCCTCTCTTGTTGCGGAGCACAGGCTCCAGACGCGCAGGCTCAGTAATTGTGGCTCACGGCCTAGTTGCTCCGCGGCATGTGGGATCTTCCCAGACCAGGGCTCAAACCCGTGTCCCCTGCATTGTCAGGCAGATTCTCAACCACTGTGCCACCAGGGAAGCCCTGGAATTCTTCTTGATTTAAAAATCTTTCTGTGTTATCTGTGAACAGATCTGCTGATAATTATTAGGTTGCTGCTGGCGACAAGTGACAGATAGAATAGTAAGAAAAAAGCTACTTACTGCTTTATGTACACAGTGCACCTTTGTGCTCAGTCAGTATAGTCTGTAGGTAAGTTAGTCCTGGTAACCTAGCCTTGGCATCCAGGCAAAACGATGCTGGGTGCCCCTCAGACTGGGTGGTAAACCCATGTGTCATTATGGGAAATGTAGTCATTGGCCGTGGTATCCCTGTATTCAGCTTTGCTGTGTAGTCATTGACAGTCAGATGCCACTGAGTTTTCACATCCTAAACACACACACGTGACTGGCACCCAGATCAGAGGAGAGACGGTTAGGAGCATCCCAAGAAACCCCTCCCTCCCTCCCTCATGCTCCCTTCTAGGTACCCCCGTCCTCCCCTCTCCCAAGAATTTGTCAACTCTCATTTCTTTTCACCTCTTCAGTCCTACCTCCAAAACTCCACAGGACAGCAGGCCCACCATCAGAAAAACAACTTTCAATTCTTTAGACACAAAGAAAACTTGGACACAAATTTTGGGGAGGGAAGCGTGATCATTGAGAGCCACAAAAAGTTTGAAAGGAAAAATAACTAAATAAAAAACAGCTCAGCTTGAAAGTTTCCCAACTTACTATCTGATCTTTTAGTTAATTTCAGAAGGAAAATGGGTCAAGCTTGAAAGAACAACTTACAGAGATCCTACTGGTAAAACAAGGTAAAGTATTTTTTTCTTCTTTTTGTAAAATGCTGAGGATTTGGGTTCTCAGGGTCTCTATTTAGTGTTTAGCATAAACGTTGATATTTTCCTCACTGTAAACTCTGTCTTAAGTAAAGAATCTAGTTAAGCTGTTTTAACACCATTCTCCCAAGTAGATTAGGGTGAACCTAAAACTTTTGGGCCAAGCCTAATTTAGGCTAATAAAGCAGCAGAATAATTAACAGTACAGGTGACTTCCTTCTATTAAACCAGTTTTTGTCTCTGAATTAGAATTTAAGAGAAATTGCTACTGGGTTTGAGGTAAAACTTACAGGCTTACGCCTTGCTCACAGAAATGAAAATTGGGGGGGAAAAAGTTTTGTAAAGCATTTCACACTGTGTACCAGTCGCCATAAAGACGTATGTGGGTGAGGGCCGGGAGGGAGTTCCTGGGGCCTGGCGCCCGCGGTGTCTGAGACTATGCTGAGAAAACTATTTGGGATCAGATTTATGCATGAAAAACGTTCATCATAAATTTAAAAGACAAATAAATTGAAATTCACCTCAACATCTTAAAAATAGAGAAATAATTGTTACAGTGTATTCATTTGTCAGAATCTAAGCAGCCGTCTCCACAGCAGATCATGAAGACAACCCAGCAGTGTCAGAAAAGTTAATAAGCTGGTAACAAAATAGGATATTGGATATATGGTTTTTAAACCCTGCCAAATAATGTGTAAGGAAAAGGCTAGAAGGAAAACTGTAGCAAAATATTAATGGCAGCTATGTGACTAGCCTTTTTCTTCTATTTTCCAACTTTTCTGTTTAGTAATTCTGTATATTATAAATAACAGAAAAAAAATGTGCTAAACGTTTACTTATGAAATACAAAAAAGGAGTAAAACAGAATGAGAAGATAGGAAAATGTAACTGAATTTAGTATCCAGGTTATATGATATAAATTCATTAACATAAAAACTCTATTTGCTAAGTGATCAAATGAGAATAAAGTTTCTTCGTAAGGAAATAAATACATCTATTGTCAGTGTGAAAGTACATGGACTTGCCAGTGATTTAAACCACTTTTGACTGTATCTACTAAAGTAGCAAAAAACAGTAATAAGGTTCAATGTTCGAGAGCCATGGGGAACATTAAGATACTCATAGCACTGGTAAACCCAAAGTAAGAAAGCTAAATTTATTAATTCCTCAATTAATAAACAGGAAGGTCCTACTTTCTTACATTATGTAGCTGAAGTGACAGCTTTTAAAATCTAAGAAAGCTTACTTTGGGTAAACCCAAAGTAAGAAAGCTAACTGGTTTAACACACACTACGCCCCATCCACAGAGTGGGAGGGGGTACCTGTTACGTGCAGTGAGCTGGGTGTGGTGAGGCCCGAGACTTGGGGAACACGACAGGTGCACACATACTTACACTTGTGAAAACGTAGCCAGAGCTTAGAGCCTAACCTACCATGACACAGCTTGGTTCTCCTTCCTGTAGAGTTAAGTTTATAACACAAAATAGAGCCCTCAACACTAGTTAGTGTGAAGAGTACGTGTTGGTTGGGGCCCATGTGGCTGTGCACCTGCCCCTGTCCTCTCTTCCTTCCAGCACTTCTTCATCAGGGATGTGCCTCGGAATCACTTGGGGATTTGTCTCCAAATACTCAGGATTCGGTCTCACCTCCGGAGAGTCTGCTTCAGTAGTCGGGAGTGGCCTCAGGTCTCCCAGACTCCACACTGTGTGGCCTGTTTACAGCACGGTCTTCCGCATCCGTCCATACGTAGGGCTGCCCTGCAGCCTCCGGAGAGCGCCTGTGTGAAACATTAACATTGCATACCCGAATGTCAAGCTTTGAAGAATGAATCTCAGTACTTTACAGTACTATTGCATGTACAGAACAGTTAAGTTGCAGCTAGAAAATCCTTTGTTCTATTGTCTCGTTCATGGAAGAGGGTATGGAATTGATTTGGGGAGAGTAAAGATGTGCCGGCTGTGTGCCCCTGTATTGACATTCAGGAGAGAACTAAGCTCCCCCTCTGTCACCCTGCCTACCTCTTGGAGTTGGTTGACTAGAGGGAAGAAAGTAAAACAGGCTTTCCTTATAACAAAGACTAAAAACGGAGTAACTCAACGAGAATCAGAATTCTAAAGCTACAAGAGGCTTTTAAGACAACAATCAGATGGACGTCTCTCCTCTCTGAGTCCCTCTGAGATGACTGGAGCTCTCGGGGGGCGCTCTCGTTCTACTGTTTCTTATAAATACGTACCTATTTTATGGCTCCATACTGCTTATTTAATTCAGCGTAACCACTATAATGATGCTCCTCTTTTTGCTTCCTTTATTCCTAGTGTGTTGGGGATGGGACCTTCAGTGCTTTTCCCAGCACTGTCTTCTTCAGTCTTTAGGACTCTAACCCTAGGAGGCAGCAGAGAGAACTGGGCCAGAAGGTGTTTCGTCACTTGCGAGTTACTGACTGATCAGAATGGCTTGTTGGTTGGCTTCTTGCTACTAACAGGAATGTGGGCAGCTGTGAGTCGTCCTGGTAGTCTGGTTGATTTTCACAGGTTCATTTTTGACATATTTGCACTTCAGAATTTGGGTGCAATACTAAAAGATCTACAGTTTACCGAAAGGTTTTTTTTTTTTTTAACCAGATTAAATTCTGACACTTTTTAATAGAAATGTGGCAAGGTCCAAGCCTCCAGGACAACCAGATAAAAAGTACGAGGTTTCCTCCGAGGAGCACCTCTTACCCTCAGTCTTACTGTAGGGAGACAGATGTCAGATATGGGTGCTTTGCTTTCTTTCTCCGGAGCCATCCAGATGTCTTCCTTTTTTTTTTTTTTTTGCGGTACGCGGTCCTCTCACTGTTGTGGCCTCTCCCGTTGCGGAGCGCAGGCTCAGCAGCCATGGCTCACGGGCGCAGCCGCTCCGCGGCATGTGGGATCCTCCCGGACCGGGGCACGAACCCGTGTGCCCTGCATCGGCAGGCGGACTCTCAACCACTGCGCCACCAGGGAAGCCCTGTCTTCCTTCTTTTAAACCAAAATTGTTTGCTTCTTTACTCCCATCTCTAACCGCTGCTTTTTTTCTGTTGAAGGGCTAAGAGTGAGGAGGAAATTCCCTCATGCGCCCTTCCCCCTTTAAACAACACGGCTGTTCCAGTAACTGGATTGTCAGTACCGGGTTCCCTGAAACAAATAGCTAGTCAGGAATAAAGCTGTGAGGGGGGACCAGGAGCCGCTCACCCCACTTGTTCTTTTAGGGACCATTTTCCCTTTAGACAGGATCTCACGCATGCAAAGCAGAGTACTTACCTAAATTTATTAATTCCTCAATTAATAAACAGGAAGGTCCTACTTTCTTACATTGTGTAGCTGAGGTGACAGCTTTTAAAATCTAAACTATAAATAAATGTCTCAATGATTTACATTATGCAGGATATCATTTGGAATTTGCACAGGGGCTGGATTTGCACTGACTGCTTAATCGCCTTTAAAGCTGTGATCGCCCGCTGTGCTGCTCACGCAAATTTATGATCCAAACAGAAGTGTTTTGAGTAAATGATTTGAAAGCTGATTTGAAAGGCAGCTCAAGTGATGAGCAGGCCCTCTGTTTAGATGTAGAGAGTTAGATGTGGGAGGCAGTGGTTTTCTCTGATAATTTTTAGAGGCTGTGGGAAAGCACAGTTGGCTCTTTTTTTGATACAGATCTTTACTGCGTGGTGTTCCTGGCCGCTGTCTTTAGCACATTTGCATGCTTTGCATCTGTAAGGTGCTGGTTATACACCCAAAACCTAAGAAGTCTCCTCTTGAGCACTAATGCTTTTGTTTTTTCTTGTCTGCCTGAACAGAACTTGGGAAACTGTGAAACGGACAACGAGGAAAGGCCAGTCGGCTGATGGTATGAGTGCAAACCTGTTAGAACTCTCCCGAAAGGAAGTCCCACACAGGACTAGGAGACTGGGGGTAGGAGGGTTTTTTACTGTAACCAAGACCTCAGAGCAGGGTTATCTTCAAGTATGGTCTTTCATCTTTAGCTCTGGTGTTCTATTTTGCAACACTGTAACTAAATCAAGCTTTCTTTATCAATAACTTCCGGTTCCTGTTACCTAAGCTCAGAACAGTGTTTTTGAGGGGAAGATGTCATCATACTTGAGGCCAAACTTAAGTCAGTGTAATTTGAAGCCACATACTGTATCTAGATGTGTTATGACTTCTAGAAATCTTTTGCGTTCTGGTCAGAGGATCTGGGTGAGAGCCTTTCGTTTGGAAAACTTATTTGGCATGACTTGGCGCTTTCTGACTGCTTGCTTTTATAAGTTGATGAGGAAACGACTTAGGAAAAGACTGTTCATTCAGTTCACTTTCCCTTCCAGCCTGGATGCTTTGCCTGCAAAGATCCCAGAAAAAGTCCTGAAAACCACCTCTGGTCTAGGGGAAGTTGGGCAATAAGTCTTCCTTGTTTTTCCCTTTTTTCCATTTTGTTCTGTGTTCTGTTTTTCCTGGAAGTGGAGCAGCTGCCGCAGCTGCTGTGTTTTCCTACTGGGAAAGCGAGAGGAGCCGATGGTCCCCCTGGGCAGTTGTGTTTTCCAGAATCCAGTGGTTTTTGGTTTTGGTTTGGTTTGAAGCCCAAGTAAACTTGGGAGAAAGGGTCTTTTATCCTAAAACAATGAAGTTCAGTCTAGTTAGCATATACGACAAACGTTGGAACTTATTTGATTTATTGCTTAAAGGAAATCGAAGAGCACAGAGATCAATGTAACTTCGGCAGCGGCCTGGCTGCAGCAGGGCGAGAAATGATGTCTGTAGCGGTTCGTGTAGACCAAAATTTGTCCTGGACCCTGGGCTAAATGTTTACTTCTAGTTTCAATTTTATTTTAAAGAAATTGTGGCAATAAAAACAAGCTTTTTATAAAAAGAAAAATTAAATAATACGGAAGTGTGATTATTTTTTCCTTGCTTTTTTTTAATGAGAATAACTTCCAAAGTTAACTGCCAGTATTGTAGCTTAAATTAACTTCCTATTGCTAATGGCAGATACAAGACAGATTTCAGCTGCAGCATTTCTTAAAATGTGGGCTTTTATCAATAGTTAGATTGCTGTAAACAAATTCCTGGCGTTCCTGACCTTTCATTGGGGTTTCCTGGTTTTATTTCCTGCTGGCAGGTGTGGCGGTCATCCCCGTGCTGCAAAGAACCCTTCACTATGAGTGCATCATTCTGGTGAAGCAGTTCCGACCCCCGATGGGGGGCTACTGCCTAGAATTCCCTGCCGGTGAGTAACTGAACACTGGGGAATAGAATGGCCCCTCAGGGACTGTTGGACTGGGCCAGGGCAGAGCCTGAGAACGGCAGAGCTTAGACATTGAACACCTTTTCATCTGTCCATGCGGTTTTAAGTAAAACAAAACCACTTCTGCAGTGAGGCACCTCCAGGCCACACTCCAGTGATCCTGTAATCCGTAGCGGTATCACAGCTCACCTTTCCAGGCCACCTGCCCTCCTCTTTGCAGCGTTCTTTCTAGCCTCTTTTGAGTCATTGGCTTTTCCTAATTTGTCAAGGTATTTCGTTTTCTATCACTAATGATCTGCCTCTGGCAAATTTACAGTAATAACTAGGCCTGGCTCTTAACTCCAGAAACTGTGAATGGGGAAGAACCATGATCCTCCTGTATGTATACAGGCCAAGGAAATCATCTTAATTTCAACTAGAATATTTTTTCAGTTGTACAGGAAGTATCTAGAATGCAGTGCATCCTTATAGCACTTAATTGGCTTGTTCCCATCTGAAGAGGTTAGATCTCAGTTATCATTAGTGGTTTAAGTTCTGTATTTTCAAAGTCCATCCCATAGTAACACATAAGTAACAGCTTTATTTTCTTTCTCACTTCCTTGCCATTTCACTGAAGAAATTAATAACTTTAAAAGTAATTGAGGGCTTCCCTGGTGGTCCAGTGGTTGAGACTCTGAGCTTCCACTGCAGGGGGCACAGGTTCAATCCCTGGTCGGGAAACTAAGATCCCACATGCCGCTTGATGTGGCCCAAAAAAACAACAGAAAAGTAATTGAATAGCCCATGTTTCACTTTTTCTTTGCATCCTGTAAATTCCTTTCAGGAGAAAGGATCTGCGATGCTGCTGGCCTCCTCCCACTCGGCCCGTTCACTCCCTCCTCACAATGAACTAGTGTTACCCACAGTCCCCTCCCCCCTGCTTCCCTCCTTTCCGATCTTCTCCCTCCCAGGTGACGTTTATCCTAGCATTGCATTCCAGAGCCCTCCATGTGGCCCTGAGGGAGGAAGGCAAGATGGGAAACACTGTCCCCAACTCGCATGTGAGGAAACAGAAAAAAGCACAGGCTTCCTGTGCTGTAGTCACATGACTAGTCTAAAACCGGGGCCAGTTGGCCACCGCCAAGCCACTTACCCGCCCAGGAGATCCGTGCTGTACAACAAGCTTGATGCTGAGATGCTCACAAAAACATCTAGGTCTAAACACGAGGAACAGAACCTACTAAATCTGCCCAGGGGTGTTCTTTTGTCTTTAATTTTTCTATAAAAGATCAAAACCGGGATCAGTGTTGCCTGCACGCCCACGCCCCCCAGACCTCTTGCTTGACTGTTCCCACGGAGCTCGGCAACTTGCGTTAGAAGCAGGGGGCTCCCCGTCCCACCTCTCACATGACTGGGACTTGCAGGTCTCATCGATGACAACGAAAGCCCAGAAGCAGCTGCTCTTCGGGAGCTCGAGGAAGAAACTGGCTACAAGGGCGACGTTGCTGAATGTTCCCCAGGTTCGTGCTGCTTCCCATGCGTGTGCTTGGGGACAAACTCTTGAAAATTAGCCAAGCAGTTGATTGTTCTGGATGTGAAAGGGACGATTCTTCGGGTGTTCTTTATGGTCAGGGATTTATTTATTAGCTAATTCACTGAAGAGAAATCCTTGATGAGGGTTGGTCACCTGAGAGTGAACCTCCCTGCCCCATGAGAGCACGGCTGAGCAAAAAGGGCTGAAGTTGGAGAAGAATTATGAGATTAGGGTGCCTTTCGGGGTTCCCACATTCTAAGCTTTATTTCGTACTCATCTCGTCCGTATGCCGCGCTCCTCACTAGAAGACTTTCTTGATGTGGTGAAAGGATATTACCGCATCTAACCCCTCAGATTTACCAAAATTTCCTCAGGAACTCTGGGGAAAATATGAGTACTAACTACACATGTGTTCTGCAGACCTACAGCGTATATACTAAGGGAATAGGAGAAACCAGTTCCCCTGCATAACTTCTACATAAACTATGAGTTACAAGCCCACTCTTCCTCCAAAGACATTTAAGTGATGAAACGAATGACACCTGACTAGTGTCTGGAAAGGTGATCTGCTGCTTCTCTCCCCAGCTGTCTGTATGGATCCAGGTTTGTCAAACTGTACCACACATATGGTAACCGTAACTATCAATGGAGACGATGCTGAAAACGTAAGGCCTAAGCCAAAGCCAGGTAAGCATGTGTTGGCTCCGTTTACAGTGGTTGCGTTGTATTAAATTTCTTTTAACTTGCTGCTAGTTTGATTTTTGTTAATAGAATAATGGTCTTTCAGAGATGCTTCATTGGTACTCTTGGCTATTTTCCTAATCTTATGTATTTCAGCATTTTTCTCTTAGCACTTCATTGATTTTTGTGCTTGCTTTATATAAAATGTGCAGTTACAAATTTCCATACCTTCTATATGGAGTTTATTCCCGCTTAGTAATAAGGACTACAGGCCTTAAATCATAAACAGTGAAAATCTTCGAAATCACTCTGATTTCTGTCTCCATCAATATTGTAAGAATGGCAGAGGTGCTACAGCACAGCACCGTATTAACTGTTTTTGTTGAGTTCCATATTTAGTGAAGCTTTGGGGAAATTCTTTGCTCCACATTTCTTAGCAAGTTTGGATTCAGAGGCTTTAATGCCTCTGTCGGTTCCATGTGCTCCCGCAGCCCCACTAAAAGGTGGTGGTGACACAGACACCACCGTAAATCATGTGTTGGAGTGGAGGTCTTCCATTTCCCGTCCCTTTTAGTTGTTCCCAGTGTTCAGTTTCCCACTGCAGCTAATTTTAAATGCCCAGTTTTCAAACTAGCGAATATAACATGCTGATGAAGAGTTTGGCAGTTCCTCAGAGAGTTAAACATGGAATTAGCAGGTGACCCAGCAATTCCACTCCTAGGTAAATACCCAGAAGAACTGAAAGCAGGGCCTCAAACAGATACTTGGACGCCAATGTTCATTCAGCATCATTCACAATACCCAAAAGGTGCAACAACCCAAGTGTCCATTAACAGATGGATAAACAAAATGTGGCTTATTCTTACAATGGAATATTATTCAGCCGTAAAGCAACGAGGCATGCTGATACATGAAGCTTGAAAACATCTTGCTCAGTGAAATTAAGCCAGACACAGGAGGGCAGATGTTGTGTGATTCCACAAATGTGAGATACCTAAAATCGCTACATTCATAGAGACAGAAGGTAGAATAGAGGTCACCGAAGATAGGGAATTCTTGTTCAGCGGGTACCACCTTTCTGTTTTGGATGATGAAAAAGTTCTGGAGATGCGTAGTGCTGATGATTGCACAACAATGTGACTGTATTTAATGCCACTGAATTTGTACCTTCAAAAATGGTTGAATTGGTAAATTTTATGTTATGTATATTTTAACAAAGTTTAAAAATACATATATGCATATCACAGAATATGCTTTAAACTTGGCCATTAAAACATTTGATTTGGAGAACAATAACTTTGTACTGTTGGAATTGTTTTACCACGTGTATAAATTAAATTAGTAGAGACCCAGGTTTCTGTTAAACTCTTATAGCCTTTTTGATAACGTCTTGCACAAAAGCCTTGCAGCGTTTGACCATTCCGGGCCTTGCTGAGATGTCCCGCTTCTGTTTGTTTTCAGGAGATGGAGGTATGTGTCCCGCTCGGGGGCTGGCCTTGAGTGCCGTGTGGTGCAGCGGGAGCGGCCATGGCATTGTGAGTTGCTCAGTTGGGCTCGCCTGGTGTCCGGCTTTATTTTCACTTGCACTTTGTTTGTTTAGAATTTGTGGAAGTGATTTCCTTACCAAAGAATGACCTGCTGAAGAGAATTGATGGTAAGCATTCTTGATTACCCCACTTTCTCTGTTTTCCCCATCCCCACCAACGGGGTACTAAATATTATTCTATTTCTTCCTCATTAAACTCAAATGCCTAGAAACTGTTATATAAGACTGCAGTTGACCTACACAATAAGTTTCCTTTCCAGGTGGCACAGAGTTTGAAAATAAGAGCAAAACATTCCATGTCAAGTGAAAGCTTTCATTAGGGGCTTTTTTAATTCTACAGAACAGTCAAGATATAGGCCTGCTGATTAGCCAAAACTATTCTATACCTTCAATCTTTAACCCCTGCCATGCAAAGGTATAGTAAATAATCTCTTAACTGATCCTCAAATATGCCAGTATGTTGGACGGTTCTTTGTGTGGGGTCTAAGTTAAAGATTTTAACAAATATTTAGGCATCTAATATATACGCAGTGTGATAAGCTGATATAATGAACTAACTAGCAGCGTGCCCCTTAGTAAACTACTTGTCATGTAGTTACATGTGGTTCCCAGTCAGCCCGTCTCATAGGACTTTGTGAAAATTAGTAAGGTTCCATGGACCGATGTCCTCCAGTAACCCTACACAAGGAGATACTGCAAAAGACGTGGCAGGGCCTTCGGGGGCTCCTCTGCCAGCTGGGTTCGTCTCCAGTCACTCATGACAAAGAAGTGGGTGATCTCCTAATTTGAATACTATTAAGTTTTTATTTCAAAAATTAACTTGAAGCATTGTTTGACCTGAAGCTTTGGGAGCAGTCTCTTCCTTCCTCCCGTGAGTACCAGTGGCGTACAGTTTTATTTCTGATGTCTGTGTTTGAAAAGTCAAGGGGATCTTTCAAAACCTGCTGGCATTTCAGGTTCCCAGACAGCCTCCATCCCTACGTTACCTTTTTATAGACCAGACCTAAGGTAGAAACCACCTTAGGATCCCAGGGTCAGAGTTAGAAGTGCTCGTCGTGAGGAGATGCAGTGATTTGAGGTGTCTACTCGGGGAGAGCCATGGCCACCCGTCACAGCACAACTCTGAGGCCAACAGGCCTGGCTGGATTGAGGCTCAGTCAACCGTGTGTTAGTTACAGCTCAGAACAGGCTCCTAGCTCTTCTCATTAAACGGGAACAGTAGGACAGCCCCTACCTCTGAGGAGGCAGGAGTAAAATTAAATGGGATAATGGTGACACACAAATGCTTGAAGGTTATGTGCTATTGTTTTTATTTTTTGTATTAGAAAAATGTCCTTTTAAAAAAAATTCCTTCCTTCTCCTTTCCAGTAACTTCCCTTCCAGCCTTAAAAGAGAGGGGAAAATAGGGAGGTAGAAGGATCTATATATATAGGAAGAGGGAGGGGCAAAGAAACAGTGTTCCTGGCTTTACTAGCATCACAATATAGTAATCAAATTATTTATTCCACACGTACCATTTGAGGAGTAGGAAGGCACGTGGAGTTCAGTTTTCTATGAAGAATAGCTTTTAGCACTCGCCCAGCACCTGCTGGCACAGATGAGCAGGACAGAACCCTGTCTTTGAGGGTCAAACCGACTCTGAGCTTGTTCCTAAACAAGTGGCTGGGAAACAAGGGGCAGATTGGAAATCTGGGGGCCTCCACCTGAGTAAAACAGAAGTTCTCATGAAAGGCCCTTGTGGTCAGATTCAGAGACCTCATCCAGTCCATCCGAGCACACGGCTGAACTTGCACATGGAACCTGTGTGTCCCTGACAGTGGAGAGGATGGATGAATCATCACTGTGTAGTTCAGCGCAACAAAGCCCTGTAGTGAGCAATCTATGAAGTAACAGTTGGATCTATAAACTTAAAGCTTTGCTGTTTAAAACACAGAATCATCACCTGGTATATGTGCTCTTCTGTCTTTAACTTTTTCTTGTTCTTATCTCATGCTGGAAACGTAGTCCTGCTTTTACATCCTTTATTCTTCTGCTAGAGTAAGATCCTTGAAGACAGGAAACGTCTTGTTCATCACTATACCACCAGCATCTAGCACAGGAACTGGCACATAGTAGCCGCTCAGTAAACACTGATTGGCTGATGAGGGGTATTATCCGTTATCAACTTCATTATCTGACTTGTATTCTTCACCTCCTCTAGATCTGGTAGCTAATGAACATCTGACAGTGGACGCCAGAGTCTATTCCTACGCTCTGGCGCTGAAACATGCAAACACGAAGCCGCTTGAAGAGCCCTTCCTGAAGTTTTAAGGCCAAAGGACAGTCGCCTTGTTTCTGTAACCAGGACACAGGCCTCCTTCATTAAGACTTTGTATTCAGCTTAGTTTCAATGGAGATTTGAAATTAGTTTTTTCATAAAATAAAAGCACAGAATGCATGTGGTGGTATGGAATTGTAATTACAGGTAGATTATAGACTTCATTTAAATGCTAGACTCCACAGCTAATATTAAAGAACAACATAAATGCAGGTACTGTTTAATCCAGCTTTTAAAAAAGAAAGCTCAGCTGTTAACTTTTCTACTCTAATCCAGGAGATACGGTATTTTCATAGGAAAATAGCCCTGAATTCCAATTAGGTCAACGCTTCCCAACCCCACTAAAAAATATGTAGTGAGGTATGCAAACAACCGTTTACGGCATTAGAGTTTTTTTAACAGACAGATCTATATAGGGACTTTCTTGGCCTCTCCTAATTATCTGCTATATGGAATTAATCTGCATAGCACAGGATATAAAAGAGAATAACATTCGTAATAAGCACATGTTTCCAGTTAGCTAGTGTCCTTATAGCCATCTAACTACTGGAGGGTGACCAGCTCTTATGTAATGAAAAACGGTCGATTCATTCACGTACCAAGGTTCAGAGGCTAATGAAAATACAGGGCCCTTCCCTCAAGCACGTGTATATACTTCAGAATCTCTTTTCCTATCCTTACCTCAAAAAGTACTTGAAGTTTCTAAAAACCAAGCCCATAGTAATAAGATTTACATGGTTTGGGGCACTGTCTTGGTGTTAAACCGTGAGTATAGCCAGCACAGTTAGCAAGGACCAGAAACCCAATACAAGCTTCTTTAAAGGAAAATATGGATTGTTTCCGGCTCATGCCATGCCCAAACTTCCCCTGCCCCCAATCCTCAAGGTCCACCGGTGTCACCGGCCATTTTCTTACCTCTTGAGCTTGGCTGTTGTGTGGACTTCTGTAGCCTCAGGGGCTCCAGGATTCCTGCCTCTTTGGTGTAGAGGTCTCTGGATGGTTCTCATTGGCTACCCCTAAGTCATGTTTCCAGCCCTGGACCAGGGGTTAGCCGGGCCCCTCAGAGCCAGATAAGATCAGGGGACTAATGCCAAAAAGGCTGCAGTACAGTCTGCTTGTCTGCAGGTTCACTGACTTACCTAGAGATATTTTTATGAGCAAAAATAGATCTTTATATTGTACTTCCTAAAAAGAATGTAAAGAATCATGCAACTAGAGAACTGTATAGATGAAGTCTACTCTCCCTGTGAATACTATGAAAATTTAGCCCCAACTAGTTGCTCTAATAGTAGCCTTCCCCTGTGCCTCTTAAATCCTTATTTTTAATCATGGGCATCATGATTCTCCAGGGACTGTAATCCTCTTCCCTGAGCACCCAAGGCCCTCGTTACTGCTCTTCATCAAAATCAAGAGACGCCAAAGCATACAGAGAATGCACAGGCTCAAGCACACAGAACTAGTCTCCAAACAGCCTCCAACTCTTGCAAAACCACTCCCCATGCCAACTGATAAAGCTACACAAACGCTGATGGAGGACAGAGATTTGTAACCCCTGCCTGTCCTTTCTGCCACCTTCTTTTCCTGAGTGCAGTTCAGAAGTGACACCTAAATCCTAGAACATCGCCTAATGCAGTTTATGTTCTCTGCAAATATCAAAGGCTATGCTTTGGAAATTCGGTCAGTTTGAGAACTGGCAGTCTGGATGCTTTCACTGGCTGGCCCTATTAGTGTATTAGTATTTAAACGTTGAAGGTTTATTATTAAAAGCTGTATTTCCACCTTCTTTGGGGAAAAAGAGCTGTAACACTGGGTTGTATTTCCATGGTAACAGTGGTCTGAGGCCCTCAGGAGATGCTCTCCAGTGGACATGGCGACTCTCCTGCCTGCCTGTATTTCCTCTGCCTTCCTCCTGAAATTAGTTGGCTTTGTGATCCTAAGCTAAATAAGATACACGTCCTGCACTAAGAAAGTAAACAATGATAGAAAACCATATGAATGAGAAGGACTTCTTTGAAAAATTAAGTTTGATCTTTTTGGGCAATAAAGCACATACTTTGAAAAATGAATTAGGGAATTCCCTGGCGGTCTAGTGGTTAGGACTCTGTGCTTTCACTACGAAGGATTCCTGGTCGGGGAGCTAAGATCCCATAAGCCATGCAGCACAGCACCCCCCCCCCCCCAAAAAGAATTATTTATAAAGAACTGTGCTATTGCAAATGGAGGCTGGGATATTGTGACCATTTTTTTTCCTGGTCTTTCCAAATGTTAGTCACAAAACTGAGCACCCTTTTGTTGGCCACTCACTGTCCCTCAATATTTTTAGGATTAAACTAATACATTTGCAATAGGTATCTCAGGATGAATTCTGTATGAATATAATGAACCTATATAATCTTAGAAATCATTTAATACCAGATTTTATTTTTCCAACACAACCAAAAGTTTTATTAAATAAAATTTTATTGTCTACTGTTTACACTCATGTTGCTGCTATAAAGTACAACAACATACACAGATTCCTAGCATGAATTACTCATTGTTCACCCCCACTGAACTACAGACATTGCTTGAGAATTAGATCTTTGCTTTAGGGATTAAAAAAAAAAACTGGGGCATAGTATCTCGAAGAGTATTCTCAAGTGACGTGTTGGAATTCCAAGGCATAGCCGATACAGTAAAACAGCACCGACTGTGCTGTCCCTGGGAAAGGGGAATGGAAAACAGGCAGAGTAATTATAAGCAGTTGTTTCTGGTGACAGATTTGACTCTGAAAGCTTGATTCTGCTCATCTGGGCTAAGTGGCTGCTTTGAGGAGGAACAAATAAAATGGGGGAGGGTGGGAATGTGGATACTATGAGTTAAAAAAGTATAAAAAGTAATTATATCTAAAATATAGATTAGATATAAATGATCCAGAACTCATTAAATAAGCTCAAAAATACTGGAAAGTGGCAATTTGAACTGCATTTATTTTTAAACAAGTGGGGGGAATACTGAGTGTCCTGAATGTTGTGTGCAAAACTGATCCACGTCACCATCTCACCGTCACAACCGAACATGGCAAGGCAGGTACATTGGTTTCCAGCATCACAGGCAACACTGCATGTAGGTTTTTTAATGAATAATGTAAACTTTAATGTTAAGGCAGCTGGTACTAATGCTGCACACAGGCTTAGCTCCGTGCCCATTTCAGGAATGAGACGGTCAACACTTGAAAACAAACTGTGAGAGAAGAAAAGGGGAGCCAGCATTATCTGACAAAAACAATGAGTCAAAATATTTTCCCTTTCACACACACAAAAATACTGGAACATTTAGAAAAACAAAGCACCCATCCCGCCAACTTCAGCCTGTTCCTTAACAAATATTTCAAAATACTGATAAATAATGGTGACTGCAAGCAGAATTCCAGTGCCCGAGCCAATGGCCCCGAGGAAGTCGGCCAACACCGACAGGGCGCCGATGCACAAGCCCCCAAACGCAGCCGCCGTGGGGATGTACCTGGAAGACAAAACCCTGAGTCAGGCAGGGGAGGCCCACAGGAAGGGGCAGCAGGAAGCAGCAGTAACAGGCGGAAGAAAATTGAACTAACGCGCCAGGAACTGTCCGCAGTACTGACGATTCGTCCAGGGCTGTACACAGTTATGTGTTGATGAAAATGATGAAAGGAATGATCTGACTCAAGAAATGATCTGATTTCAAGAAACCAGTTAATAGCCAAGAAAGGCAATACATGATTTTTACAGCAGAAGAGGAGAATCCTCAACTGTGATTTAAGTATTGGAATGTTTCATATTGTTTGTAAGTGGGTAACCTTTAGCTCCCTCTCGTAGATGAAGAGTAAATATCAAAATGCTAAGTATCAAATTTATGTGACAAGATTTGGATGACCCTATTCAATAGTAATTCAACCTTGGCCACATGTTAGTATCACCTGGAGAACTGTTAAAAATAATGGGATTGTATTTAAAATACTCCAGAGGGGGAAAAAAGATGGGGGCGAGGGACCATGGATGGGGAAGACAGTAGATGAAACAAGAATGGGAGAAGGATAACGACTAAAGCTGGATACAGTTGAATGCAGGGGTTCATTATACCACTCTGCAATCTATTCCATGTTGTAAATAAAAAGTTTAAAATACCAATGCCTTTTCAACAAATGGTTCTGGAACACTTGGCTATCCACATGGAAAAGGAATCTGGACCCCTATCTCACATGAAACAAAAATGAGCTCAGAGTTGTCACAGACCTAAACATAAGAGGATTAATCTTTGTGACCCTGGCTTCTTAGATACAAACACCAAAAATAGCACAAAGAAACCAAAGAAGAAATAGAAAAACTGAATATCAAAATTAAAAATTTGTGCATCAAAGGACACCATCAAGAAAGTGAAAAGACAACCCACAGAATGGGACAAAATATTTGCAAATCATTTACCTGATGAGATACATCCAAAATATTTTTTTTTACCCTTATAAACAGTAATAAAAAGACAACCCAATTAGAAATTTTAAATGAGCAAAAGAAGAGACATTTCTCCAAAGAACATATTTGAATGGCTAATTAACACATGAAAAGATGCTTAACATCATTACTCATCAGGGAGACGCAAATCAAAACCACAATGAAAAGGGAAAAACCACAATGAGATACCACTTCATACCTACTAGGCGGCTAAAATCAAAACAAGAATTAGTGCTGGTGAGGACGTGCAGCAGCTCCAGACACTGCAGCTGGATGCAGAATGGGGCAGCTGCTCTGGAGAAGGGTCTGGCAGTTCCTCAACACGTTCAACACAGTTACTACCCAACCCGATAGTTCCACTCTGAGAGAAATGAAAACATATGTCCACACAAAACCTGAACAAGTACGTTCACAACAGCATTATTCACGACAGCCAAAAAGTGGAAACAACCAAAATTTCCATCAACTGATGAATGGATAGACAAAACATGGTACATCCATACAAGGGAATATTATTCACGAATAATGAATGAACTCCAAAAACATTATGCTACGTGAAAAAGATAGTCACAAAGGATCACATATAACTCCATTTATATGAAATGTCCAGAACAGGCAAATCTACAGACACTAGATAAAAAGCCTGGGGCTGGGAGGTGGGAGGGTGAGTAGGAATGGAGAATAACTAATAGGTACAAGGTTTCTTTCCAGGTGATGAAAATGTTTTAAAAATTATATTGTAATGATTACACACTCAGAATATACTAAAAACAAAACCCCACTAAACTGTATATTTCAAATGAGTAAATCACATGATATGTGAATTATATCTCAATAAACTGTTATTAAAAAACAAAAAACTGGGGCTTCCCTGGTGGCGCAGTGGTTGAGAGTCCGCCTGCCGATGCAGGGGACACGGGTTCGTGCCCCGGTCTGGGAAGATCCCACATGCCGCGAAGCAGCTAGGCCCGTGAGCCATGGCCATTGAGGCTGTGCATCCGGAGCCTGTGCTCCGCAACAGGAGAGGCCACAACAGTGAGAGGGCTGCGTACAAAAAAAAAAAACACAAAAACAAAAAACTGATGCCTGGGACCCACCTCAGACCAGATAAATCACAATTCCTAGAGGCGGGATATCAGTATTTTTTAAAAGCTCCCAGGTGGTTTTAAGTGCAGCCAGACGAGGACCTCTGACCTACAGCATTTTAACACTGGGCTGAGCAGTGAAGGGAACATAATTTCAATTAAAATAATAATTTAGGTGTCAATTCTGATGTGGAGAACAATTCACTTTTGTGTTAAATTTTGGTTCTTTTGTGTTAAGTAGAAGAAAAGTGCTTCAAATATGAATTTAAATTAACATCTGAGAACAAATGATAGATTGAAAAACCAAGAACACGTGTGTGTATGTAACACATTCTCTCTCCTATCCAAGACTGAGTCTAATGGCCTTCCTTACCTATTAAGCTCATGAACCATAGAGGTATCCCTGTGGCCTCTCATTACCATTTGCTGTTCTTTAAGCTGTTTAGCTACCTGCGAAGAGAAAAACAACTTTTAAAATCAAACTCTATTTCACTGTTTACTACGAGGTTCTGTGTGAAGTGCTCTCCACAGAAAATACAGGAAGACTGAAGTAGACACTGTCATATCATAATATTCCCTGAGGCTACAATGCTGCACAACCACATTATCCATACCTTAAGCCAGGGTTTCTCAATCTTTCCTTAATTATCACCTCCCTAAAGAGAAATTAAATACTAAGGAATAAGACTTTGTCGGGTAGAGTTGAGCTTTGGATGGTCACAAACCATTGTAAAATCTAAGAATTTTTCACTTTCCAGGAACTACCTGTAGTTTTTTAACTCCCTGGGGATGACATTACCTCATTAAGAATGTATGTATTTGAGTTTAAAATTACAAAAGTAATTAAGTGTATCAATTACCATTTGACACCTAAAAATTATGAATTTTTTTTTTCATTTTCAAACAAACCAAATACTTACATCTTTGGCTGAGGAACCAGACACCTCTATCCATGTCTTAGAAAAGAATGCACATGATCCCAACATGAAGATGATATAAACAACCACATGGACAGGATCCTCAAATATGGCGCCCATGGACTCAGGAGGAGAAAGGTAGTAACAAAGGCCCCCCACTGGGTAAGAACGAGCAGGTCCTCCCCCACTGACGTCCTACAGAACAAGAATAAAAAGCACAAATGGTCACATTTCTGTGACTTTTCAAACTCCTCAAAAATTATGATGATGTTTTAAGCTCAAAGCACCTACAGCTAATGATTCTATGTAACTTAAAGGATTTACTTTTGTGTCTGATATCTTCACTCTTACAAAATTATATAGTGAGTAAAAAAAAAAATTATATAGTGTCTATTACATAAGACATTGTGAATATATTAACAGAAGAGCAATTTTTAAAAAAAATTATAATACTTCTACAAGAAGAATCTTCTCTTCCTGAAGACAGGAATAGATCACATCGATCTCTGATAACATTTAGAGTCAGAAATTTTCTGAACTATGTAAGAGTACATACATATTCTTTTACTTCAAGGTATGCTATTAAGAATGCAATCAACTGAAATATTAACAGAAGACTAACGACTCACTACCTAAACTTTATATGATTTGTATATTGTAAAGAGTAGTCTTTTAATAAGTATAAAGGTATTTTTTAATCCACACAAACATTTAAGAATTTTTATAGTAAAAGAAATGGGAATAACATGTATTTGCTCATATTAAATAGAAGTTCTGGGCATAGATGGTGGGAAAGCAATTTTTGGATGCAATGATTAAAATGTCTGGTTCCTGAATTTACAATTTCCAAATGATTCATTTACTGTGCCCCTAGAATCACTGATTCTAAATCAAAAGCCCTGACAAATTAAACTTCCCAATAGCTCTCTCACTTTAAAAAAAATCTCATTAAGATCACAACACAATCCATACAACCACTCAGTGCATTTATTACTGTGAAATTATCATAGTAACAATGACTGCCAGATTATTAGCTCATGAGGGGAGGGACAGTCCCTCCCCTCACCACAGGCAATCCAATTTCTGTTAAATGAATGGAAAAGGAGTCCAGCTGACCCTTGAACGAGGGGGTTAGGGCACCGACCCTCCATGAAGTCGAAATCCACATATAAGTTATTGTTACTCCTCCGTGTACACGGCTCCTCCGTATCCGCAGTTCTGCATTGCAGGATTCAACCTGCTGCAGACCATGCAGTACTGAAGTGTTTACTACTGAAAACAACCTGCGTCTAAATGAACCCGTACAACTCAAACCCATGTTCAAGGGTCAACTATTCTGGATAAAGGGAATCATACTTCCTTCAACTGCCTTTCAAGAATTACTGTTTCATCCTATTAAACTTTACATTTTAAAAATGGCCTTCAGTGAATGCAGAAAGATACGTCGCTACAACTTACAATACAAAAGGTAGCACGTTAAGACAAATGCATAGAATAAGCACCGTATTTCAGGAATGACTAAAAAAACAGTTCTTTGGGGGAATACAAATTCTAGAATTACATATTCTGAAAACAATAAAGGCTCTTACTCTTCTCTAATTCTGTAGTTTTAAGGGGGAAAAAACACTCCTTGGTCAGGTGAAAATTTAAACCAGTCAAAATTCAATCCTGGACTTCCCTGGTGGCCCAATGGTTAAGAATCTGCCTGCCAGTGCATGGGACATGAGTTTGATCCCTGGTCCGGGAAGATCCCACATGCCGCGGAGCAACTAAGCCCGTGTGCCACAACTACTAAGCCTGCACTCTAGAGCTTATGCGCCGCAACTACTGAAGCCCGCACGCTCTAGGGCCCACATGCCGCAACTACTGAGCCACGTGCTGCAACTACTGAAGCCGGTGCGCCTAGAGCCCGGGCTCCGCAACAAGAGAAGCCACCAAAATGAGAAGCCTGCGCGCCGCAACTAGAGAAAGCCCATCCCGTGCGCAGCAACGAAGACCCAACGCAGCCAAAAAAAAAAAAAATTCAATCCTACAATAACTCACACCTCAATCACAATGTGGCTGGATTGCTTTAGGAGCTATGATGAAAATCTAAAAGAGGAAGGCAGAATTTACTGGATTCCATTTCTAGCAACTGTTCTCTCTTCAATATAGTTATTATGTGCCTTTCTTATTTACTGCCATTTGGGCCATGAAAAACGGCGGGGGAGGCAGGAGAGGATGATTTTGGTATCCTATATAATCAGCAGATAGCTTCTTGGAAAAAAACCATTATTCTAGACAACAGAGGAATAAGACTACAAAACAGGGAATCACTTTCATAAGAGCAACTGTGATTTTAACCTAAAAGGTCACTCAAACGAGATGTGAAAATGCTTCCTAGACGTAAAATAGTACAAAGTACTCGGCCAATCTTAGTTTTAAAATGCTTACAGTTTTACAACTCTTCCAAATAAATGATAAACTGGGCTACAGGTAAATGAATCTGGAAGTGTTATATATAGCAACTGCTTCAATTATGGCTCATCTCTTTCAGTTAAAAGCATGAAATGCAAATTACAATAAATTTGAATACTTAGAATAAATAATGAAATACTCACAGCCCACTGTCCTAGTAAATTTACTAAAAAGTTGCCACTAAATCGAACTGACAGCATCTGGGAAATAACATACAGGTTGGACACCAGGGCCGACTGCAGGATGATGGGGATGTTGGAGGTGTAGAAGAGCTTGATGGGGTAGCTGCTGTACTGCCCTCGGTACCGGGCCGACTTAATGGGCAGGTCCACACGAAATCCCTGAAAAAGGAAGCTTAGGAGTAAGGCAGAGAGGCTGCACGTACCACGACTCCAGACGAGGCAAACAGTCACAGGAGGGACTATGCAAAGACAATGCTAACAAACTTTCCCTTCCACAGAGACACACAGAAATAGAAATCCTTTTCTATTTCATAATTGCTAATATTTTGCACCTCAGAGTCTAAATGATGGAATTATTTGCCTAACTAGATTTTGAAACACTGACTTAGCTGCTAACATTTCAAATGGTATTCTCCTCTTTAAGAACAAAATAAAAATCCACACTCCACTTAACTTCAGCGAAGAAAATATACTTACCTGAAAATATATAACAACAGCAAACACGAAAACTGTAGCAATGAGGTTCATGAGATTGGGTAAATTCTGACGATAGAAAGCCTCCCTTAGAGCTCGAACTTTGTCTGTCCTGGTGGCCAGTAAATGAAAGAGAGCTATGACTGCACCCTCAAACTCGGTACCTGATAAATCAAGATAGAAATCGGCTGTAGCTTCATTACCCAAAGTTGTCCCAAAAGTCAAAACAACCTTGAAGCTCCAGTACAAGGCAGAAAATATGAGTCCAGATAATTCATCTATGTTTACGATACAGCCATGTGTGGAGCTTCTAAAAAATATTTACATCATTCAGGCAAATATGTCTTTTTTTTCATAAATCTGAAGTTTTCTCAAGAGACTATTCTTGATGAAAACAAAGTAGAATAAACCAAAGCAAATATTTAGTTCATAATGATTTGCCTCACCTTTACTTTAGGGAAGGGAAAAGAACATTCAGAGGTGGGGTGGGGGGAGATGGGGAAAAGAAGCAGCAAAGCAGAATAAAGATGTCAGAGTTGAAAGACAGACATTACTCTACCAAGCTTGCCTTTAATTCATTTTACTAAGTATATTAATAAACCCATCACCGCTATTTTCTTAAGGCTGGGACCAGGTTAGATGTTAACCATTACAAATCTTGGATGGCATTTGAGAGAAGTGGAGATGGGTAAGGGGAAACACAATGAAATATTTCATAATTTAGGTGCTATTACAAAGCCAAGGAGAACAGCAGCAAAAGTACTAGTACTCCCTGATGATGCAATAAATAATGTTTTTTTAATCTGAAATCCACTACCTTTTTATCCCTCGAGGAATGCTGAAATCAGTCAAAATCAATGACTTCTGCAACAATTGGCTTAGGCAAATAAAATTTTTTAAATGTTTGCAACCACTGAAATTTTAAATGAGCAGAGGCTAAATTTTAGATACTATTCTTTCTGAAGCAACAGTTCATACTCCACCAATCTCTGCTTATCAGCTTTGGAACACCTGACATCCGCCGTCGCCTGGGACAGCAAACCAGGGCGTCTGTCGGCAGTCCCGCTCCACCACCTCATGCTCCTCTCAGCACACACCCGGCCAAACCCGTGCAGTTGCGTCCCTGTGCGTTGTACCTCTGCCAGTGTTAATGGTAGTGGGACTAAAGGCCTTCCAGACAATGGTTTCACAGATGTTGGTGGCAATAAAGAGGGAAATCCCAGACCCCAAGCCGTAACCCTTCTGTAGCAGCTCATCTAACAGCAGCACAATCAAACCAGCAACAAACAACTGTGGGGAAAGAAATGCAAGTAAGCTGAAGCAAGAATAAACTCAGAAAGGGGCAGTGAACACCATTGACTACTTTCAAAGTACAGGCATTTTCAACACTAAAACCTAGTCGATACAGTATCACTATTATGACACCCTGCATCTAACCCGATTTAGTTTCATCAGAAGCCAATTCTGAAAATGAGAGGACTGGAAATGTTGTTACATTACAAAGCAGACACTTTGACTTTTAAAGTATATTTATATTTCTCTTATAATGTTTAAATAAGACCTATTGAAAAGCACCCTAAAACAAAAATGTTCACAAAGTTGTAGCATTTATGACAGCAAGAAACTGAAAAGCATTCCAAATAGCTTCAAGTAAGTAAAAGACCAAATGAATTATGACACAGTAACAAGATGCAATTTTATAGACCATTAAAGGAAAAGCATGTGAACTATGCTGATACATTTTTAAGTATTATAGATTTTATATATGTGTATTATATATAAAATATACAATAGAATAAGTCAAAAAGTAGAGCACAAATATGTACACAGATTATAACAATGTAAAAATGCATTTAATACATACAGTGACAAAAACTGAATATAAATCTGAAAACAATTAAGGGTTCACCAGGTTCTTAAGTTCATGATTTTTCTTTTTAAAAAAAGAAAGCATACTAACTTTATGTGAAATTGAAAATTCTTAATTTTCCTCTTGGAGAAAACATCAGTAAAAGTATGTATCAATTAGAAATAATCCATAGCTTTACAAGTGACCTCTTTGGTCATGTGACTCCTTCCCCACACTTCAGTAACCTAATCAAGGGGGGAAGAAAATGTGCTTCTAGGCCCCCAATCTCACACCTGTCCCCACTTCAAAGACACCCTCCTACAGACATGAGGAGATGCTCCTTCCATTCCTCCCAGGTCTGAAGCCTCCCACCCTCGTACCTTACTCAGTTCACCCAATATCCCTGTTAAGAAGAGAAAACTACAGTACACTATTTGAAGCATGCTTACCTTACCGTGTTTTTTCTTTTCCTTAACTGTCATTTCAATGGCTGTACAGAGCCTAACTTGTCTGTTTACAATCTCTAAGTTTGAATTTCAATGGACTGTAAAAAAGGTAAAATTCTCAAAACTCCTGAGAGAGCTCACAAATTCTTTACTGTTTGAAAACCAACTTTACCAATTTGACAAGATAAAAGACAAGTTAGGACTTAACTACTGAGATTTTATTTTGACCACAGTTATGTAACAAGTACATACTCCCCATCAGAAATACAGAAGCCCACCCTCTACAGGGCATGATAGCTGTCCACAAACCATCAGCCAACCAGACAGTGTTCTCATGGACTTCTAATTAAATGACCTGTCCAAGGTCACACAGGCAGCTCTGAAACAACGATAATTCTCCAAACCCCTGTTCACACCAATGTCCATCAGACTAGAGGGTGATCCATTTATATCTGGTGAAAATCAAACTCGTGCTTCTCTAACTGGACAAAGGAATTACAGAGAAACCTAAATGAGAAATGGTTTCTATAACTAAAGGAATAAAAGATGGTAAAAAGCATGCATGCCTATGCAGGGAATGAGAAATCAGAAACTGACAGCATCTCATTGACTAGAACAGTTGATAAAAAAACTGAATACTAATTGCATGCCTTCTAGAATGTTCAATACATATGAATCTCTAAAGTATGTATAAAAATAACACTTTAACATTTCAACCTTGCTCATGCGTGCACGCACACACACACAACTCAGTTTGACAAAATAATACTTACCTCTACTATGTGTCATGCACACTGATACTCTCTACTCTTTTTTAAAATTTTAATCAAGACCCACTATTTAGATTCCAAAACTCACTAGTGGAAAAACACTGACCAGGTGAATGAAACAAGAATAATTAAGGTGAGAAATACCTTACATAACAGCATGCAAACAGTTTTCAAAATCTCTAGGTGGAAACACACTGATCTAATCACATCTCTTTAGCAAATCTACACATTTTCAATGTTAGCAAAGCCTTAAAAAGATGCAATGGGTCACTACCCACCTATGATCAAATGTGAAAAATTTCTCTATACATTAACACTAGAAGGATTAACCACAAGACAAATATTCGTGCACCAGAATTTATGTAAACAACTTAGTATATACCCACTTCACTTGTTCCGTTCCAGGAATTTAACTATTCCTTGATTTCTGGTACGGAAAAAAAATTACAATAGCTTAACTCCATTTTTTATCAATTCAAATTCATAACTGACTTCATAAGAAGTCAATACTTTCACTAACTAACCCAGAACTGATCAGCTGAGGTTCCTTAAGAATATAAATACACCCTTACTAAAATACTAGAAAAATTTTACTGAGGCATAATGTTCTTAGAGCAAGATGCCAATTTTGAGTGTCTTTTAGAAAGCAGGGTTATTCTAACTATGGGTCACAAAGCAAATGCTGTAAAGAAACAAAATAAGGCAAAAATTGGTGTATCAGTATCCTCATGTCAAAGAACTGAAAGATACTAAAACCAGTTTTCAGAGGATCTTCTTTCCCATCCATTGCAACTCTTCTTTCTCTAATTCCCCAGGGTTATAAATTTGCCAGTCAAAGTGTTTTTTATTTTTTTTTAATTTTCTTACTTTTTCTTTTTGGCCACACTATGCGGCCTGTGAAACTTCCCTGACCAGGGATCGAACCCGTGTCCCCTGCAGTGGAAGCACAGAGTCTTAACCACTGGACCACCAGGGAAGTCCCAAGGTGTTTTTTAAATGGAGAAATAATGACAAAGTTATCCTTTAAAGAAGTGTACCTTATACCAAATGGGAACTCATTGGGGCTCAGAAAACTACCTAATAGTCCATTAAAGATTCCTCCCCTGGTTAAAAGATGAAATATTTCCATTTCATTAGAAAAGCCCTGTGATATGTGATATGTGTTAATGATGCCCAATAAATACCTCAACAATCCCATTCTCCTTGTTCTGAATCATACTCACTAAACAATCTTCTTACTATGATTTGTTTCCTATATAAGATTTCCTATAAAAAAAAAAGATGGTCAAGCATGCCAATCCGAAATGGTTGTATTTCTCAATGTATATATATACTAATAAACTGGTGTTTTAGTTTTATTTTAAACTATTTTTCTGACTTTGATCCTTTTGACCATTAAAAAAATTTTTTCCTAAATTAATCCTAATTTCGTAGAGTGAACAAGAGGCATCTCCAAGATAACCAGGACTCTAGACGTTCAGTGTTTAACTTAAGCAAGCTTCTTTTCAAAATCCAGTAAATAACTATTACATAACTTAAGTACAGTCCATTCCTGGGTAACTTCTCTAAAGGATTTTTAATGACTACATTAGAGAAATATCTTCCAAACTTTACACATTTTAAGATACTTAGTAGAGGGAAAATCACGTTGGCCTTCAAAAATTCCATTCCAAAATATCCATTTAAAAAATCCATAGGATATATATATATGTGTGTTTATATGGTATTTCACTTACTGTAAGATACTATTATTTGTAACACTATTATGTGTGTCATTAAGAAAGAAAAAAATACTTCAATTAAACTATGACACAATAACCTATTACAAAGAATTTTTTATTTTCTACTTAACAAAAAGTTTAGACTTAGACATAGATGTTTATCATCTAACTTGCTCTTTCTGTGCCTCTGTTTATACACAATAACTCTTCATTTCAATAACAAATCACAGCAGACTGTTGGAAGACATTTTAAACAGCAGTTAAACTCAACAACATGTTTTATCAACAATGCATATAACCAAGTGATATAAGGACGATAAAACAGCTTTGACCAAGTTGACGTACACATGCAGGCAATGCCTACCATCACGACCGCCACCTGGCTGACCGCACGTGTGACTGCATCAACTCTAAGAAAACATCCTGATTTCAGAGACATCAAAATGTGAAAAATGTGCATCTTAGAATCAGTGAAATACAGTTGATTGATCCATAATTATTAGACATCTATGGGGCTATTACAATACATTTTAATTTTTAACATCAAAACAACTTATACATGTCACTTCAATAAAGTAAGAAAATGAGTATATCAATCACCTAAAGAATTGTTTCAAAAGAAAAGAAGGAACAAACTTTTTTGTTATCCATATGAAAAATTGTATTTCTTACCTGAATGATGATAAGGAGACAGATTCCAGCACCCATTTCAGCGGGATCCCCATACATGCCCGTCATGACATACACAATGGCTTGCCCAATGGTAATGATCATACCAAATACTGACAAAAATTGGGGGAAAAGGAGTACATGCTTATAACCAAAGACAAAAAAGACTAGAAAAACATCTTTGCCACAAAATTCTCAAATTTGGAAAAGGCTCCTTATTAATTGTACTGATGCTCACGTTTCTGGGCTCCATTGAATAGGGCTCTATCTTTGGGTGTATCTCCAACTTCAATGATTTTGGCTCCAGCTAACAACTGCATAATCAAACCAGATGTTACAATTGGGGAGATACCCAATTCCATTAACGTTCCTGTAAAGGAAGGGGAAAAAAGTAAATAATCTTTACGATATCCAATGCAGATTAATTTAGAAGAGTCCCAGTCCTTAATTATGTCTATGAAATACATGTTAAATGTTAACAAGCAAATTTTCATTTCCTAAACATTAACTGCTAAAAAAAACCCTCTCATTTATTAACACAACCTCACAACAATGCATTGAATCAAAATTACTATAAATACTACAAAAACGTAAATTTCTGTGAATTCTAAACTTAAATTGTTAAAGAAATCCTTTGAAAGAAATTGTCCAAGATTTCTGTCCAAATCACTATTTTTAAAATTTACACTAAACATTTTAACACAGGATTTTAAAAGCCCAAAAATTAAGTAACAAGTTAATAAAAAGATGATATTTAAGAATATCTGTGGGGCTTCCCTGGTGGCGCAGTGGTTGAGAGTGCGCCTGCCGATGCATGGGACACGGGTTTGTGCCCCGGTCCGGGAAGATCCCACATCAGCCGCGCTGCGGAGCGGCTGGGCCCGTGAGCCATGGCCGCTGAGCCTGCGCGTCCGGAGCCTGTGCTCCGCAATGGGGGAGGCCACAGCAGTGAGAGGCCCGCGTACCATACACACACACACACAAAAATGAATAGCTGTGACTCTCCTAATTCAAAATATAAAATTATATAGAAAGTCATCAAATTCAATGTTGTAGAATGTTGAGTGGCATGAAAAATGTTAATGACATAGTGGATAGGAAAAATATTCAAAAATAGCATGTACAGTTTGATTTCATTTAAATATTTAAGTGGAAAATCATTTCCTGTTATTTTAGTCTGGTTATCAACATGTTTCTATTGTTAATGAACTCATCTACGAAGCGGACTCACAGACATAGAGAACAGACTTGTGGTTGTCAAGGGGGAGGGGGTTGGGAGAGGGACGGATTGGGAGTTTGGGATTAGCAGATGCATACTATTATATAGAGAATGGATAAACAACAAGGTCCTACTGTATAGCACAGGGAACTATATTCAATATCCTGTGATAAACCATAATGTAAACGAATATGAAAAAGAATGTATATATGTATAACTGAATCACTTTGCTGTACAGCGGAAATTATCACAACACTGTAAATCAACTATACTTGAATAAAATAAATTTTTAAAAAATATGGCATCTTAAATGGATTCTTCATGTTTTCTCAGATACTTCCTCAATGGTAAAAGATAAAAATATGTTTTATCATTAAAGCTAGTAGGCAGGTAGGGAGATTTCTTTTTATATCAAATCACCAAAATTTAAAACTGTCAAATGGATCTAGTCCAAAAATTAATCCAGTCAAGCTTTAATGAACATTTCATTTAGGAAATATGGCACTTCCACTCAATAGGGAAAAGAAGGATAAATGGACCTTGGCAAATAACTGGCCCATATAGAAAATTAAGCCTAGATTCCTTATCTCATGACTTACATTAAAATAAAGGCCACAGATTTAGAAAATATAACCATAAAAGACAAAATACAAAAGTACCAGAAGTGAGTATGCTTATAATTTTGGAAAAGAAAAAGCCTTTCTAAGCCTTTCTATAACAAAATACATAAAGGCCACAAGCAAAAAATGGACGATATGATTAGATACAACTATGAAACCTCCATGTGGCAAAAGACAGGGTAATAGTTAAAAGAAAAATGAACACAAGTAACAAAGAGCTCGTATGTCTAAAGGGCAAAGAATTCTTACAAATGAATTTTAAAATGAACAAACAGCAGTGAAATAAGTCAGAGAAAGACAAATACTATATGATATCACTTATAAGTGCAATCTAAAAAATACAACAAACTAGTGAATGTAACGAGAAAAGAAGCGGGCCCACGGATACAGAGAACAAACTGGAGGTTACCAGTGGGGGTGGGCGGGGGCAATATAGGGTGGGGAGTGGGAGGTTAAAACTACTGGGTATAAGACAGCCTCAAGGGTGTGCTGTACAACACAGGGAATATAGGCCCCCCCCCCGCAAAAAAATAGAAAAATAAAAAAGAGATAAATGGCATGGCCACTCCCAATAATGCTCTTTTCTCAGGAAACTACCAACAACATAAGAGGAAACCCCAGCACCCAAATCTGTACTATGTAACCCTGAAACTGTAACCAAAGCTGGCTGGGTCTGGTGGAAATCCTGGTAATTTCTAATTCTGAACTGAGAACTGAAGAACCCAGGAGTTGTTGAAGCTAGATCACAAAGACAAGGTTCCCTGCCCCTGCTGCTGAGGTCTGAAAGCTGGTTCTCTCTCCACAAGGCTTAGTTGTTCTACCTCCTCTTTGGGTTCCAAAAAATGACTAGTATCCTTCCAGTAAATTCCATTTTTGTGTTTAAACCAGTCAGTAATTTCCTATGACTTATAACAAGTCCACTCATAGAAGAAATAGAAATATTCAATAAAAATATAAGATGATGTTCAAGCTCACCAACACATAAAGAAATACAAATTAAATACCAGATACCAATTTTTACCTGTCTAACACAAAGACTAAAGGACAAATATTATCCACTGTTGGAAGAGAAATGGTCATTCTCATACACCATAGCAGAGTGTATAAAATAATTCAAAGCTTTTGGAAGACAATTTAACAATATCTATCAAAAATTTAAGTGTACATTCCTTGTAAACAAGCAGTTAAACTTCTAGAAATTCATTCTATTAAAAACTTACAGAAGAGTGTGATAGTAGTCATGGTAGCATTGATTATAATGATAAAATTGGGAAAAAAACTACATGTATGACAGCAGATCCTACAGGCCTTGGGGTCATACCTAAAACACACTCCTTACTGTCTACAAGCCTCATAATCTGGCTCTTGGATTCATCTGCAGCATCATGTCCTACCACGTTTCCCCTTTCCTTTTTTCTTCCAATCACACCATCCTCCTCATTATTCTTGGAACACATTAAGCATACTCGCACCTCAGGGCCTTTGCACTTGCTATTCCCTGGGGGAAGGTTCCTCCCCCAGATCTTCACACGGCCTTCTCTCATGTCCTGCAGGTCTCTGCTCAAATGTCCCTTCCCCCTCCCAAGATACAGTTCATGTAGAGTCTACCTCCCCAAATAGAGTAACATAAACTCCACGACAACAGCATCACTGTCTTGATCACTGCTCTAATCTCAGCACCTAGCACAAAGCTCCACTCATAGGAAGAACTCAATAAATACCTGAATGAATGATTAAAGAAATCGTGGCACATCCATATAATGGAATAGTATATGGCCATTCAGTAAAATAGGTCATCCAAGATATTAAGTAAACACACCAAGTAGCAGAATAGTTATATAGTAGATCTTATTTTTCAGTTTTTAAAAGAAGTATATAAATTCATATATATGAATATATATTCAGATAAAAGGTCTAGACGGTTATTCACCAATCTGTTGTCTTCCCAGGAGTTACCCCTGAGAAGCGAGACCTTCATTTTCAGCTTTATACAAATCTGAAATGTTGGTGCATTTTTTAAATAACAAACAAATGTTACTTTTTTGATGTAGAAAAAAACCCACCCCAAAAGCCCCTCCTGATCCAGGCCCTCCCTATCTCTCAGCCTCACTGATCAGCATCCCCCACCCGAATCCCCAGCCTGCACCCCGTGTCCTCATGCATGTGTGCTGTGACTCAGGCTTCCCTCTCCCGACGGTCCACAGGCTGAATTCCAACCCAAATGCTCTCCCAGCATCATCTCCTCCCTGGCACCGCAGATCAGTCTTTCAGTCCCCTGAGAAACTCAAGAATACACTTCAGAGAGTCCAGGAAATCTCCTGAGATTTTATGAAAAATCTGCACGTGTGAATGTACATGCATTTTTCTAGGGAGAGTACAGATAAATTTAATTAGATTCTCAAAGGAAACATGATCCACAAAAGGATGGAGAACCAAAGCTCTAGTCAATGCTAATCACTCCATTCTGTCGTAACTCTATATACTCTGTACATACTTCTATTATTACAATAAATACACAGTTTTGTAATTATCTTTATGTTTGTCTCTTCTCCTAGGCAATGAGTTTCTTTTACCATATACTGCCCCTCCCCATAGACATCAAAAAGTAGTTGTTTCCACATTTTCACATCTATTTGATGTCAGTACTAGCATGGAGGCAAAAGAAAAGCAGCATATACCTCTGTTGGATGCAAGAATAACTCTCATCCAGTAGAAAGGATCTGCAGAATCTGATGACATGATTCCAAATAGTGGTATCTATAAGATTACATAAAATATTTTATAAAAATGTATTATATAAATTAAGTTTGAACTTAATTTATAATGCATTCACTTAATATTTGCAATACTTAAAAAAACCCCACTACTTCTCATGTTCAATAACAAAACAAGCATACTTTAAAAGTAAAGTTCTTTAATGAAAATAAAAACAATGGGAATCATTACTTACAACATTTCACTAGTAAATATTCCTATCAGTATGGAGATATGTTGCACAACAATGTGAATATATGTAACACTACTGAACTGCACACTTAAAAATGGTTAAGTTGGTAAATTTTATGTTTTTGCAATTAAAGAAAATGCTCCTATCAGTACAGGATATATCTACCACGTCACAGAATAATCTTGGAAAGCTATGGGTACTAGTGACAGCCACGGCCATACTCCAAATGTAAGACTGAAGACGAGATATACAGAATACTATGCAGCCATTAAAAATTATACTATGAAGCTTGTAACAGTATGAGGATGTGCTTATGTTGTAATATTAAGTATAAAACAATGGTTCTCAAGCTGGGGCAACTTTGCCCCCCCAGGGGACATCTGGCAATATAGGAAGACACTTTTGGTTGTCCCAACTTGAGGGGGGTGCTACTGGCATTAGTGGGTAGAGGTCAGAGATGCTGAACATCCTACAATTTATGGGACAGTCCCCCACCGCAAAGAATTATCCAGCCTAAACTTCAGTGCCATTGTTGAGGAAACCTAGTATAAAAAGAATGGTATGAAACTGTATAAATAAAGTAA